GATTTAATTAAAACTGATTTTTGTTTCAAAAATGTTCCGGTGTTCTCCACTCAGAAGCAATGCTTTAACTGTAATAACTTACATTTGTTTATTCACATGATCTTTATTAGACAACTGAACTATGAAGATACGCTGCATTAAGAATATTCAAATGGGATGCTGTCTAATTTGTGAGACAATCTGGAATATGAAACAATTTGTCATAATATTATTTGAATAAATTAGATTACTGTGCATTACTTTACAAATTAAAGCAATTTAAGCTGTTTTCAATTTAAGTTTTCAATGGCAACTTAATTTTTTTATCATGAAAAATAATCTTAGAATACTTAGAAACCACCATTATCCCCAACAGGCATAATCAAAATAGTGTACAGACACTACAGAGGGTGTGAAAAGTGACTTCCAGCATCAGCAGAAATATCTGTCGCACTCATTTTTAATCAGCATATGCACACTTCTAAAGGCTGAGAATCACTGAAGCAATGAACATAGTGGACTGAAATGACATCACAATTGTGCTGTAGATGATTGACCAATGATTGATCCACACTGCACAGTCAAGAGATTGACCTTCACCGAGAGACAGACAAATCTGATACTCAATTTAGATTGGAAGTGTCTTGCCTAACCAAAAAATCAATGTTCAATGTGTGAAGGCAGCAGCTTCTGAGTAACTGAGAGCAATTCTCTTTTCCACTTTCATTCTCGTGTTTTTCAGCCTGCCTTTTTCTCACTGCTTTCTCTGCATTGTTTTCCTTATGTTCCACAGACACCAGTGTATCAGTTACTCTAGTAATCGTCTACATGTAATAAGATGCGTGAACACCTTGGAGGTCAGGACACAATTTCAGCTGGCAATTCAGCATACCGTACAAACAGTTCACATTCAAACAGGAGTATACTGACATCATGTCTGCTATGCTGCTCATTCAACCAGGTTACTACCAATAGTACTTCATAGCTTAACATTCACAAGTTTAATGATAAAAAAAAATCCACAAGTGATTAAGTCAGTGTAACAATGTAAACCATTTTTTATTGATTTTTTTTACATTCTTTGTGATGAAAGTCACGCTAAGAGAGTGAGAAAGAGAGGTGAAAGAAGGTAAAGATAGTTAAAGCTTAACTGGATGTCCAGTTTTCCCACTGTAAAGAAGTTGTGTAATAAAAGACATTTTAACAAACCAGACAAAGTTGTTTATGTGGGAGTCTGGAAAAACTCTTGAGAGCTCCAAACAAACAGAAGAAGGTCAGAAAATAGCCCCACTGCACAGCAGTTCCACTCTAGGTTTGTTAAGACAGACATAATTAAATGAGCATGTTCTGTACAGCCTTGACAAAGGTCTAATTGAATCACTTCGATTTTAAAAGGCATGACTGCTATTCAAACAGACCGTGTAAAGTACATTATGCCTAAACATGAACTACAGCAGTGCAGTATGCTGAAGAGTTCGCATATTAACAAACCCCTTTATGAGCTGAAAAAAAAAGAATATTTATCTTATATCACAGGTAGAAAACAAACAACAGATGAATATCCTCTTTGTGTTTTGAAGGCATTCTGGAAAATTAACTGACATTCTTTTAGCAATACATATATAATACTATAAGGGAACAGGTAACCGGTTTATTCCATGCTGAAAAGAAAGGAAACGTGACATTTCGGCTGTGGAGCCTTCTTGAGGTGTTTCATTTCTTTTTTCAGCATGGAATAAACCCAATACCTGTTCCTTTCGCAGCCTGTGCATGCTGACGCCTACTTATAATACTATAATGCATCTATGCACGTGAGAGTAATGAAATAATGTCATTAAAGACAATTTTTGACAACATGGATAATACTTATATATATACTGTACATAAAAGCAACAACACAACTGTTGTTGAAATTGCTGAAAACAGCAGCGCTCAAAAGTCTACTTCAGTAAAACGGAACTGTAACACGCTTTCAATAACCTCTCTGGTAGTGTTATGTCACTGTGTCTATATTGTCTGGAAGATGCATTTGATTTATCTCCAACTCTTTCTTGTAGAGGCCTTGCAGCCCTGCATGGTCTTTCATTGAAGAAGACTCTTTGCTGCCTCAGTTCCAGGTGCTTTTATTCTTCATCACTGACCTCATTCCTTTCATAGCATGTCTAGACAGACATGTGCGAGAACAATGGAGAGAACATTGAGAGGGGAGGCTATGAAACATTCATTCGCCCAGCCTTTCACCTTCGAAGAGCATTCTGGTCTGCCTACAGATGCTTAGGCATTCAGCTCCTGTAGATGACATAATCTTATAGTCTTACTTGATCTGATATCAACCCCAAAGATAAACAAAAATCTTATTTAAAATTTAAAATGTGAATTTTCACTTTGTTTTCCATTCAACACGCATGATGGCACACGGTCACACACAGGACAAACAAAGCTGGAATGAAGAGTTATGAATATAGAGCTCCTGCACATTCACAGGGGAAAAATGTTCCAGCGGGTGAAGCTCATTTTATTTCTAGGGAAGAGTATTTGTTACTTCACATGTCTGTATTGAATGCACCACTTCTGTATTATTAATAAGAAGGTTATCTTCAGTGACTTTCTTAGAGGGGAGGTTTATCAACTATCCATTGAAGAAATGTTACTCTTCATAATGAGACGAAATATAATGACAGTGCGAGCATTAAGAAATTGAATTTTTCAGTAATTATTTTGCTTACATTAATACAGTTAAAGACACATATAGACACTCAAAACATCAGCTATCATTGTGACGTATGTATTAGTAAAGCCACAATTATTTGACTGTCCTGGGCGACAAAACTGTGGTAAGTTACCGATAATTTTTTTTTTTTACATGCGTGATAAATTTGGAAAGGAGCACCATTTAAACTGCAATCCAAACATCAAAATGCTTATTATTTATATATGCAAAAATCCCTAATCTGTGTCTCTGAAACAATCCTTCAGGTTTTCAACACACTTCAGAAAAATCCAGGGTGAAAAAGTGGGCTAACACAACCTGATTACCATTCATGAAAAATGCAATGGAAACCCTGCAAAACCACTCAGGACACTGTTTAATAAATGAATGAATGTTTACTCCTCCAGTGCCTTCTCTTATGCATGGAGCAGGTAAAGGGAGGCAGACGGGTATGACTGTGAGCCCTCAATCATGATTTGACTAATATTTAATAATTAAGGCTGCTCCATGCCACTTACAGTATCTGGGTACTACAAATGCAGCCAGACCTAAAAAACACGAGGACAGGATTGCTCAGCAAACCAAACCACGTAATGCTATCCTGTGGAAGAAGGGTAGAATCCTCCTCTGGTTTATGGTTTCTCAGGGCCATGAACTTGCCAAATATTACAAAGCTCATTGCCTGTAAGGCCCAAAGAGGCCTTCCTTGACAAGATTCAACCTTCAAGAGTGTCATGTACAATTGCTGTTACTAAGGCAGTTGACGGGAAGCACAGACTGCCGCGCATTGGTAGCCAGACCAGGGAATATGGAGCAGCTGGCTTCTCCTGTCAGAGCTCACAGAGGAGTGAATCAGGAGTATAAGCAGCACTGTGCGTAATCATGTGGAAAAGCAATGCAATTACACACTCACTAACCTTGTCATGTCCTTGGCTCAGACACATTTCTCAGGCTTTTCAGTGCAAGCTGATCTATGGCTAAAAGCATCTTGCTTCCGGGAGTTAAAAATTACAGGATCTTCATAAATCCTTATCATAAAGGGTTGCATAAACCTTGCCTTACAGCTAACATGTGTAATCTGACTGACCAAAATACAACTTAAAATCTCATGTGAAGCAATTCTTCTGAATCAGGATCTTGCTGGTGGCCAACACCACTTGTGTGACAGGACTAAGCTACTGGATGACAAAAAAGGTTAGCTAACTCCAGTAGCATAGTCTTTGTCTGCCTTCACAGTAACATGCTAGTGTTTCAGGGAAGTTTAATGGAGGATATGACTGTGTATCTTTTAGGCTACAGCTTGTATTATTGCAGGGTGTATTACAAAAACAAAACAGCCTCAGCAAAACAAAAAGGGATTTTTTCAAATTGACTTTTACACAGCAAATGTCTTTCTGAATATCTGGTGTTAAAAACCATTAAATATGAACCTCTTTGTATTTTACAGACTGGAATCTACTAGTAGTAATCCAACAAATAGATAAAAATCCCATTGTTATTTACTCCATGTACTGGGTGGTGCAGCATTGCAGTGGTTAGTGTTGTGGCTTCACAGCTGCAGGATCTTAGTTTTGGGTGTCTATGTGGAGTCTGCATGTTCTCTCCAGGAGGGCTCAGTTCCATGACTTGCACTGCAGGATGTAAGGTTTCTTATGGTTTCCAGACTTTAAGTACTTGCAGAATGGAAGAGTGGACATTTATATTTTCTGTGTTCTAAAATGTAGATTTAAGTTCCTTTGTGCAGGTACTGAACTGACCAGCTAAAAAAAACAATTTAAAATAATTCAAACTGATGAAAAATAAAAAGTACAGTTTTAACAAATAGTTATTTTAAAAATTAATTATTTTCATTTTTAAACAAAAAAGCAGGATTTCAACAGCTTACAGTATGTTAAAAAATACATTTCCAGCCGTAGCATAGCCCACAATTTGTCTAATCTACACTCCTCTAAACAAGGAAGGTATATTTTTTGAAGCCTCCAAGGAATGTAATACAGTTTGTTCATTTCAGATACTCGCCTGACTTTTTTTAGAATTAAACCAGATGATACCTTTTTTTCTTCTCCACACACACTGTTCAATTCCGTGTTTTTGTGAGGACCATTCATTACCTCTCATTCTGTTTTATTCCTGACTCAGCAATTACAAAATTTAGCCCAAATGATGCCACTGGTTTACAAAAAAGATTAGGACTACTATCCTTGGTGGCAATTTTTATGAAATTGACAGATCATACGTACAGTACTCACCCCCAACACTCTCTCACACTATGACCCGAGAGGCATTAAAAACCAGAGCTGGAACCAACAGCGTTTGTTTAGTTTTTAATGTTTCGCAGTATTTATTATATCTGTTATTAGCGTCATTCCCTGTTGAACAGTGAGAAGAATTGACATCAAAATTAATACTTAGGTCACACATTTTACATTGCAATACAATACTACAATGAATGTCTTTTCTCGAATTGTACTAACCTTAAAATCATAAAATTGAGATGCATGTGTGATGCACAAATCAGTTCCTGAATTTGGTATCTTTTTTTTAACAATTTGATCATTTTTCTCAAGGTGCTGCACTTAACATTTTTTAACCTTTTCTGGAATATTTGGAGACTGATACTGGATGTATCACACCAGTTAAGAAAAGTGAAATCAGGAGTGCAAGTTGAGAAAAAAAGAAAATAGCAATACTATATTACTGACAGTAATACTATGCATATGGACAACAGCATGCATAAGCTCACAATTTGTGTAATACCCTGCATATTGCTCTTTTGCATAATTTAACAAAGACAACTTTTACTTGTATGCGATTTTCATTGATGTCTTTACAAACTTTGTATCCATTTTATTGATTTTGAACCATTACACAAATTATATCTAGATACCCGGAAATCTTTCTGCCCAGTACAATAATATTAGAACACTTCCAATGTATAACATACATGTTGTGACGGTCTCCCAATGACATGACCTTGTCTGCTCCTCAGATGAGCTCACAGCAGAGGGTCTTTATATGGATGTAGGTCACTGAAAGAAGTGTAGGTTCTGCCTTCTTTTCAGATACTGACTGGGGATGCTGTTGACAAACATCCAATCAAATGTCTCTCCTGTCTCGGAGACAATGTGTCACATATGTTCCTTTATTTTTTTTGCATGATTTCTGTTCCTTTTCTTGCTGGGTCTTGTCAATTTCTGTCATGTATTTTTTAAGAGCATGTTGCTTCGTGTGCAAAGAGACTAGTAACTTGAGGAATATTTGTGAACTGTCCACTGTGACACCCAAGTCACAGAAAGGAGATTTTAATTTGACTAATTTTAGTGGGGATCAAAATGCAGTGACTACACTTGTTGAAGCAAGGCATTTTTTGCCTTTCCTGTGATGTCTTGGAAAAGCTGATGAAATGATGGCTCTTATGATTACACTTGTGACAGACCTATGGGCTGAGGTACACCCTTTAAGCTAGTAAAAATTGAGACAATTGTTTTGACTTCAAACTGATTTTACTTGTCTGCAATCTAAACACTTAAATATGACAGTGAACATACAGTATTCCCACTCATGATAGTTTCTCCCATTTTAATACTGCATCTCACTCCAAGAGAAACACATTGTTAATCTGTAAACAAACATTTTTCAAACATACATTCCATATGCTTCTAATATCCAACATAGGATTATAAGTGCTTATCATACTGACTGGGAACAGGAACACTCCCAATAATTAGATGCTGAACCTCATTACAATCAATCTGATTTGACCTTCCAGGGCACCTTTGATGAGAAACATTTGGAAACATCTGCTAATCATTGATACAGGGTAGAGGTGTTATGACTCTGCAATGAGTACACCTTAATTCTGTAGTGTTTGTATGGAAAACTTGAGGAATATAGGAATAAGTAAACTAGGTAGACTGTAGTTTGCCTTTAAACCTCTGCAGATCTTAAGACGTGGACCAGTTCAAATATTTTAGGGAGAAGAGTGCAATTGGAAGTTCATCACAAAATGCATAAAATTTGTGGCTTTTGTTTCTAAAATACTACAAGGAAACAAAGTAAAGCCTAGAACCGAAACATGAAGTGTAATACGCAAATTAAGAAAGAATGCTTTTAAAGTAATTAAAACAGACCACACATACTTCGTCTTTAAATAATACACTCTATTTATTTTTTTTCTTAAAATAGTTTACTTTTATACTACAGACTTAAAATTTCAAGGAAGTCAGGGACTTGCACAGGCAAGAAAAAAACACTCAGTTTTAGTTAATTAAATACTGAAAGTAAAAATAAGCAAGGATTTCATGAAATGAGCATTAGGAAAACCAATGTATTAATTATAGGTAAGAAAGTAAATTGTAACTGTATACACTGTATGTGCACCATGCTGCATCTAAAACATCTGTTTTCCCTATGATTTCTTACAATTTATTCATACTATCATATCTGAAGAGCACACCATACAAACAATAGGGAAAGTTATTACCCAGCTTAGTCTCTCGCTCTCCTTCCATCAATTAACCTCAGTGCTGGGGGGTCCTTTCACATTTAGATCAGGATTAACATTTTTACAGTAATTTCAGCAAGATCAAAGACAGTGACAAGCATTTGCTAAGTGGCACTTCCCTGACCATCCTTGAACAAGTCTGGTGCATCCGGAAGTGGTTCCAAATTGCAGGTATTGTATTCAGATCAGACGGGTATTGTAGTCTTTCCATGCATGATAAAATGTCTACGTAGCTATTAACATAACAATAACTGCTAGCTGCTTCCAGTGGTTAAACTTGACCCAATAAAAAAAACTGTAGATGTTACCTCAACTTTTGAGTTTACATCACTGTAAGATTATGAAGAACAAAATGTTAATGATGCTGTTCCCTGTATTTAAAACCTTATTGGAAAAAGGTGGTTTTCACATTCAAGATAGTATAACCCTTGCTAAGAACACATCTCAGTCCAAGGCAGAGTATGAAAACAGCTAGGTCAAAAGACCAGCATATTTTTAAATAGAGCAGTCCTAATCTCAAAACTTTAACTTAATTTTATTTTTCATAAATTAATATTTGGTATTCAAGGACACACTTATGGAAAAAAAACAATGAAAAGGTTATAGAATATTAGTCTCTGAATTTTAAAGCATAGCTGGTAGGAGCTGGAAATATTACTTTGGTAAACGTTTAACTTTTACTACAGAGGGCTAATGAATTCCCTTTATGCAACCAAAAATGTGGATATTTAAACACTCGTCTGTCTATACGGTTCAAAGTTTTTAATCCATATATTTTAGGCATGACAAAAGAGTAATGTTATCTGAACAAAAGACAGTATACAATAGTATTGAAGTCAAATCAGTATACTTGATTCAAAAATAAACTTGTTACACTACAATTAGGATAGAAGAACTTCTTTTCCTTTAAAATGTTCTGTATAAATGGGTGTAAAAATAGAGAAAACTCTTAAGCAGAGTACTGAATGATGTAGACGCCAAATGCCACAAGAACAATGCACTCTACTTATTTTGAAGCCCCACATTAATATTTTCCTGATTCATCTTTGTTGATATTACACGCAAGAAAAGCTCATTCATTATTAAATGTTTTCTAAAGAAAAAAAAGTCAAACTTTAACAACAGAATACACATGATTCTGAAACAATAAATAGTGCACAATCTGAGGCAGTCAGGCCATGACACTAAGTAAACTTTAGATGGATAAGGTTGATGAAATTTACAGCATCTTCTCTCTTGTTAAGAGGTCTTTCAGGGAAGTATAAGAAAGATCTCCCTCTTATTGTTAAAGCTGACATTTTAAAGACAACTTGTTTCCAATCAGCTATACTTACAGTAAGTTCAAAGTTCAACAAGCATGTTAGGATGTTCATACATTCAATGATTCAGAGACATCAGTTTTATGTTTTACCAAAGAAACCACCAGGAAAAGGAAACCTATTCAGTGACATGTTGAGCAAGTTTATCTATAAAAAAACAATGAAATGTTTTTCAGCTAAAGGCAAGCTTTATCAAATCTGGTGTTGTAATATAGGACTAATATACTATGTTCTGCTCATTCTTAGATCATTTCTGCATGACAATGAAAAAACTGACAGCTGACGATCAACGTATAATAAATTAAAACAAGATATGTTAAAGTCTACTATGAATTCCAATGTTTGTCTTTCAAGAACTGACTGCAATTTGTACGTTATGGAAGAAATATTCTGCCTGAGAATCAGCCACAAGCTATTAGTGTAAGAACTTCTAAAATACTCCAACATGATTGTCAACTTGGATGTGAGACAGAATTAAATCTCACAGGTTGGGGGAAAGATGTCCTCTAAACAGGTTACCGAGCTCATTAGAAGCCCTGCTGTCTTTAAAATGCAGCTATTTTAATATTTCTCTCTTTTTAGCTAGCTTAACAAACAGTGCCTACTTAAAAACATACCTCTAAGTCAGTGAGGTAAAAAAATTAATATTGCTATATTTAGGTTAAAAATAAACTGCACTCAAAAAAGGAAGTGTCCACAAGTAATCCATAACACCAGGGAAGAACTTCTGAAGGTGAAGCTAAGATTTCACTTGTGCACCTCAGAAGACTAATCAGTGCATTGGTTCTCACAGTAAGTATTTGCGTCTAGCATCCTCATCCAGAGTAAGGTCAACCACTTCTGGTGGGGACGCCCAGTTGGGTTGGGGTGAAACAGCTGTCCAGAGGTGAGATTGCCTAGTGCTGTTGTACTGTGTAACTGGCCCGTGCTTCCATGATGAAATGCTCTGAATCACACCTCCCCTGGGATGGATGCATCTAAAACAACCAAAAGATTAAAAAATAATAAAAAACACCACTTGACACTATTTTAATCTCAAATGATTCTTGTTGACCACAAAGTATTACCAATAATACACTTGTGAAATACTAGTGCTGAGTCACAAGTCAGAGACATTATTTTAGTGATTTGGTAGAACACTAGAGGTTTATTGGAAAAATATTACTCAATAGCTTTAGAAATACTGTAAATCTGCTTGAGATTTTTTGGGCATTATGATTATACAGTAATAAAACAGTCTGAGGCATAACTGCAACTTCTGTGTAAAAAAGTTCTGTATATGTTGGTATAAAATGTACCGTATGCTGGTATAAATGTCCATGTAAGGATTCTTATAAAAATCTAAAACAAAAATACATTGTTCGTGCTAATAAATATTTATGTAGTTGTAATAAAATAGTGTTTTGAAAGTGTCTTCAGTGTAAAGCCTAAAACTTATTAACTAGATTGAGGACTCTTGTTTTTTACAATTTTATAAGTGTATCTATACAATGTGTGCATATTAGAATTTAAAGAGACATTCAAAATTAATAATCAAGTCTTCACCACTGGATTTGTGTAATAATGTGAACAGATATCCCTACATTTGAAATGTTCTTAAAAAACTATGCAAGGTTTTTAGTGCAAACTGTGGGATTACATAAATATTTACAGAAGGCTGCATCAAATTACCACAAATGACTTAAAACTGAAAACCCTGATAATAGTTTCAACTTAAACCTCTCCCGATTTAGGGGGTGTCTGATATGTAAATCATTTAAATAAAAATAGAATTAAAAAGTAAAAATAAATTCACTTAACACAAATGTTCCACAGACAAATCACACTACATGCACATGAATATCGGTAGTCTCTTTTCTTCATGGTACATGCAAATTGCTTATGTTATTAGAGCTTTGCCACTTGTACAGGCAAGCCTGTAACCCAACAGAAGAAACAGACAAAATTCCAATAAATAATTTGTTTTCATTCACATAATTAATATAAATACCTGACCATTTGGAATGCTGACAGTTTTACTTTCTGGAAAGGAAAATGTTCAACACGGTAATGAAGAACAACTTAGGTTAGCACTAATTGCACCATATTTCTATAAGCCTCCAACAAAGTGCATTTTCTTCCCATTGGTTTTGTTCTGACTGGTGGTGAATGAACTCTCTCTGAAAAAATATATGACAAGTACCTTGAATTTTCTTGCACACCCACAATTTCTACTTCACTGTCTGAAGAAGCAATATTGATTTCTTCTTTGATCTGAAGTGGACCACAGGTCTGTTGATCGCCAGTTGCAAGTTCAGCTTCTATGTGACCTGCAACAGAGGGGAAAAAACAAATCTTCAAATAACACATATCAATTAAAGTCAAACAGTAAAAAAGTGTTTTCAAAGAGATCTCGGCAGTGAAGAAACTTTATAAACGCAAAGTAAAAATTGATTTTTACTACATAAGTATAAGTCTATTTGGACTGAGAAGCTTAATTTATAGTTGAACCATTTCTTCTTGCAGAACCACCAGACGTATTTCAAATACAGTACAGAGCAATACAAAAATACATTTTGACAAGATATAAGAGGAAGGTTAATTCTTAAATCTTCTACTTTAATAATACATTATTATTTTTCAAAATGGCTTCATTTTTTACATGTTCATTGATGTTTGTGCTCTGATGATCCCACATCCTTAAGATGTAATTGATAAAGATTGAAATGAAAATAGTCCAGATCTAATTATCTCAGTCATTAACTTTTTTCAAGGTACATGGTAACAAAATATCTCACACCAATCAAACTTTCTATTTTCTCCAAAAATATTACAATGACAGTCATTTTTTTATTTTGAAAAGTATACAAACTGTATAAGCAAGCTTTAAAAAACAACTTAGTAGTTTGTAACTATACTGAGAATAAAATTGTTCCAAGGTTGTCAATGTGTTTTTTTTTTTAAATAGTCTTTAGAATACAAACTACCATAAATCATAAATAAAACTCTAAGTTATTGGTATATTATTGTTTTTGTCAGCTACAAACAGAAGCATCTAAACCTCTATTTGACTACTGAAATGTAAAAGCAGTAAATATCACAGTTAGCTTAGGCCATCATAGGGCCAATTCATACATTTAGATCAATCAAAACATTTTATGAAAAAGTAACCATGTACAGCCAATGTGTCTATAGGTTTTCATTCCATCTGGCCTCTTAACCTAAATTAGCTCATTATTGGCTTATTTAGACCAAATTAAAAACATCTCCCAGCTCTTGAGGTGCTGATGTTTTAAAGATAACTGGGAAACCTGCAGACACAACGGCCTTCCAGGACCAGGACTGGAGTCCCCTGATTTAAAGTTAACAGTCCAGTAACACCAGCAATATTTTAGCAGGAAAAACAATAATTCCTGCTGTATACAGAACAAACAGTTACATAACATATATAAATCTGAATAACACTTTACATAAGATCAGCATTTTCTGTAAAAAAATGTAAATTAAATATAAAAGGCTAATTCTTAGAACCAACAAAACCAGAATATTGTAAAAAAATCTCAACATTCTGAATGCATTACAACTAGTCACAACACACCTCTGTCCTTTCGTCCCAGAGAAACATGTTACTTTGTGTGGAATGTTACACATGAAGTGACAGAAACCATTTTGCTCAAAATCCTGCTATTGCCTTTGTATACTATGAATTAGACTAAATGTTGTGAATTTTACCAGAACATGTATTTTAAGATAAAATGAAGTATATAAATTACCCTAAAGCCAAATGCATTTTATTTTTGTTTTTATTCAGTTAGTACTGTTGAGACCATAATCTAAACTGAAATGTTTAGTTTCATAATTAGCAAAGCAAGAATTTGAGGAGCAGTAGTTCTGTGTCACACTGAAAAGGTTTGACTAGAAGTTTCTTGTCAAGCCAGCAAGACTGGGTTGTGTAGGAGTAGTGCTCTCCTCCTGCTGGATGTCTTCCAGCAGGCTTGATGTCAGAGAGATTCACACTCAGTGTGTGGGAAGGCAATCAGGGCCTGAAGCCTCAAATGAACCAATTTAAAGTAATTTTAAAGGAATAAAGATAAATACTTCACTTCTTATTATAAAAACATTTTAAATAAACATTTCCAAGTACAAAAAACATAGCAAAGCAACTGTCTTACTTTACAGAGAGGTTATATGGTAGAAATAGTACACTGAGGGGATTCTGTTACTATTGCGGACAGAACCTAAGTCTTCAGAGACTGTGACCTATATGAACTGAAATTGCCCATTCTTGCCAACTGAAAACATATTTCCTTTTGAATAAACCAGAAAAGATAGTTTAAGCCATAACATTCAGTAGTAGCACAGTGTTACTTAATATACAGTTTTCACAACTAACCTGTTATGGAACTTGACCCAAGATGCCCTTTTTTCCCCCAAGAATTTGCTCCCATATCCTGGGGTCTGAAAGTTTTTAGTTCCTGAGCTACAGCAGCTGCAAGAAGATTGTCCACACTTAATACTTCGGGATCAGAATTAGTGTCAGAAATGTCATAGTGTGCTATTACAGGAGGCCCATCTGTAAGAACACAACAAAAAATACTAATGTTACTTAACCTGAACCTGTGATTACCTTATGTTGATTTTAATGAATGTACTTCAAAATTTGAAATCTAAAAAACAAAATTAAAGGTGTAATAAAGTACAGCACCATTATGACAAAAGATCCCAGTATTACTCCATGTTTTATCACTTTGAATGATACCCATTTTCTTGCAATATATGTAATTAAAATAATACATTTTACTTTAGCCAAGCAGATCACTGTAATCATCTACTTCAGACTTGACTCGGGTTCTGAAAAACACCCAGACCCGACTTTCAGAAGTAGTAAGAAGATCATTTAACTCCCATTCTATTAATATTGTACGTCAAAGTTCAGGTTATCATTCGGTCTTAAAACACGTTAAACCAATTATATTTCATAAAGGATTTATAGGTATTAAATATAAGACACATTATTGTTTTTTAAATATGTACAGTGCCTTAGAAAAGTATTCATTGCCACTGAGTGCTTTGTTGCTTTAAAGCTTGTAGTCATGACATTCTGATGTAGCAATTAGTGTTATATAGACAACCCACAGTTTGTCACACATTCAATGCAAAAACAACAAAAAGAGAGGTCAATTAATAATATGAAAGAAAAATGGTCTTGATTGCATAAGTATTTAAACTTTTCTGTTTAAAACCTAAATTAATACAGGTGCCTTAACAAGCCAACTGATCTGGTGGCCTCTTTCTGTGTGCAACAGAATAAAAAAACAATTTCAGAATAAAAACGTCTTGTCTTATGGTGGTTCCATAGTCAGGTAGTAAATTTCAAACAGACTTTCAAAAGCACCTCAAACGGTGTTACTGAAAAGAACATATTAGGAGAAGGATACAAAAAATGTATCTTTGAAAATCTCTATGAGCACAGTCATGAAGAAAAGAGAAAGGAGCATTGTATCACTCAGACACTACCTAGATCAGGATGTCTCTCCAACCTGAGCAGCCAGGCAAGGCGGAAACCTATTAGCAATGCCACTGTGAGGCTACTGAAAGCTTCGAATGAGCTACTGTACATATTTCAGTGGCTGAGATTGGAGAACATGTGCTTTGGACAACATTATCCCAGTCATTCCACAGAGCTGGCTACACAACCCAGTGGAAAACCCATCTAATAGCCTGCATAGGGTTTGCAAGGAATTCACCTGAGTGATCCTGCAAAAATGGGGCAAAAGGTGTTGTGGTCAGAAGAAACCAAATCAGAACTTTCTGGTCTAAATGCCCAGCATTACAGACCCAACTGACTATAAACATCTCCCAGTCAACTGAATACTTTAGCAAGGCAATGTATCTAAGATGTATGCAAACAATCACAGGCAAAATCTGTTCAATCATAATAGCATTCTACTAACTGCAACAATTAAGCCACTGCAGTAGCCAAAAAGTGTTGGCTAGGTCTTAAATTTAATCCTACTACAATACTCTCAGACTGGAAAAAATCTGTTATAAAAATAAGTTATCAAACAACAGCCATTTACTAGATATACTGGGTGTCACAAAGGTGAAGGCAAGCAAAATAGAAAAACAAGCACTGCATGACTTATGAAAAATATTCTCAGGCTTTAAATCAAACATCCGGGCAGCAGTTGCTTTTACCTCTTTCCACTTCATGCTTAAAAATCTGCACAAATGTTTTTTTTTAAATAAAAGCAGCAGCTACATATTTAAAAAAACTTAGGATATGAAAAGGTTTTTAAAACATACATAAAATGAATTTTTAATATTAGCCAAAGCAGGTACAACCCATGCTCAACAGAAAGTTTTTCATTTCAGTGCAGAAGATACAATACCACTTGAGAGCAGAGTATAATACTGACTGATCCTCATACCGAGACTAATTCTAGCTCAGAGTGAGAACGAAAAGGGAATCTTTTAAGAATTTAGATGCTTGAAGGTTAATCTGGTTAGTACTAAAGGAAATGGATATATATAAAATTTAGTAAGAATTTTACTAAGTAAATGGTATGATATTCATGCATATATAATTTCTCAATACAAAGCATGCAGATTAATACACTGGTCACCTACCCATTATTAAACTTGTGCTTGGGTATTACTTCAATTCTTCATCAGTAGTAAAAAGCAAGCAAAACCTTGCTCTCTGTAGTTCCACTCTTGTATCTTCTGCACTTTCAAACACCTTTGGTTTACAACTTTAAACTTGCCAATACAAAAATATCTTAACAGTGAAATATTTCCCCAAAGCAAAAGTAACTGGAACAGCTACATCATTATACTTGATAGATGTATACACCTTTCCCCCATCTTTAATACAGGAGGCTTTCAATCTGAAATGTACAACAAAGAAAAGATTTTGCTACTTTTAACATTACGTCACAATGCATAAAACAGGTGGAACAAAAAATGTCCTCAGCAGAGAGCAAGTAGCAAGAACTGAAGAACTCCACTGAAACAGATATTAGAAGCTTTAATATTAAATGCAGACAAAAATTATTGCACGTTTCTTAAAATTTCTTAAAAAGCTAAGGGAGTTCTGTCATATCCCTCTCTGATGTGCTCTGAGCTTCCAATGCACCGCAGTTTGCATCCTGACAGATCTGAACCTCAAAAAACTTGAGATTTTATCACTAGAACATATCTATCCCAGTTACAATAATATCAATGTGGAGGTGAGATTTCCCAGAATTATTTAAGAACATTAACATTAAGATAAAGATAAATTCTATAAGAACATGAAAACAGAAATTCTTATCTTAATTAATTCTACAAGCTGAGGGTTCTATTCCCAGGTTAAAGAAAGTCTGTATATACATTTTTCTTTAAAGATAATTTCTGCAATTACAAAAATATTATGTCAGCACTCAATGTGTTAAGATTTGTCTTTATTGGTTTTGAGAATGACTTTTTTTACAAGGTGACAAACACTCAAAACAAATTCTGAAAATCTCAAGTTAGTCACATTAAATTTTACAGCTAATATACATGAATGAAGGAAAAATATTTCACAAATAGAAAAAAAATCAAACAGCAGGAGCTAACAAAATAAAAACTTCCCAATACTGCTGGACAAAAATGGCAACCGTGTTATTTTAAAAATACGTCTAAACTTCAAGTCAGTCAAAAGTCAGTCACTGTTTTAACACCTTGAGAAATTAAATGGCACAGTATCAACGGAAGAGATTACCAAACCAAGCAAACAAAAGGCATAGCTTAATTTCATAAACGGCTTTTATAGTACAACGTTCAACATAAACAAGTACTACATAAGCAAAATATCGATACTTTGCAATCAGAAATGCTTGTTTCCAAATGATATAAAAAGGTACTAATTTTCACCCAGTTACACATGAGAACAGTTTGCAACTCAGCAACACAAGCATCTCTAATAATGCACGGAAATTGATATCATGGATTATTCCTATCCATTGCACAGTATGGCAAAAAATCTCTGGAAGAAAAAGAAGCATCATTTCAGGAAGTCCTGCTGATTTTGCCATCATGGATTTGTGCAAAGGCTGGTAACAGAAAATTCATTACATCAGCAGCAGCTTTAAAAGTTTACAAAAGAACACATTCGATACAATTTTGCTAAAGTTACAGATACAAGTAGTTTTAACTTTCTATAGGTATTCAGGGCATGCTTCGGATGTAGCAGGCTTTAATACCCTGTTTTAGTAATCTTTCGCATAATATACTTTGTGAAAATTGTTTGCAATAGCCATGCCTTACTCAGCCTGCATGCCTTAAGATACAGATGTGCATGTATTGCTATGGTTTCAGAAAACTGCATAATTGGCACAGCAAACATGTCAGATATTTAAGTTAAATTGTCCCCCCCAAAAAGAGCATTTTAAAGGCCTGCCCCTTATAAATTGGAGCTAAAAAACTAAACAGTATTTTTTTTTTACTTTTTTGCATTTGGCAGGTGATCTTTGGTAACTCCACACATACAAAAATGTTCATTGAGACCTATGAAAACTATTTATTTCATATTGGTTAAAGCAAAACTGATATTTTATAATCTACCTTAGCATAATATTTACAGTTGACCACCAGAATAATTCTTATAAATAGCATGCTTACTAGAAAATCTGATCTTAAACTGATGAAAAGTAATACTGTTAATGGAGAAAAATTAATTAGGCTCCATTCTGGTTAATGGTCACCTTTTTAGCAATTCAGTTATTTTTAAGGTCAGTTAAGTCTTCCAAAGAGTACATGGCCTTAATGTTTAGTTGTAGTTGCCAGTCAGTTCACAATTAAAACCTCAAATTTACACTCTTCTATTGTACTGTAGCCCAGTACATTACCAGGCTGCCAACTGCACAACAATATTGTAAGTCCAAAATAGTGGTAATGTATTCTAAACAGCTCTGAATTTTCCTTTTTACATACTACAGATTCATTGCAATAGGCCCTTGAATTTTACAATGTTCACTACTGTACTTTAAGTGCAAAGCACTTAAAACTGAAATTTAAAAAAATCAGCATCTACCTTACAAACAATAAGTATGCCTAATCAAAGATATACATAGTAACAAATGATTCCAAAAGCTGCAATCTATATTAAAAAAATAGGGTAGGTTATAACATTTACATTCTATTATACTATATTATCACAGCCCACAAAAGTTTTCATAGGTACAGAAATTAATATTATGTAACAGAATTTAAAAGAAAAAAATATATTTCTAAATTAAAGGAAAAGTCATAACTACGTCCAACTACCCTATGTTCTATATTTTAATGGAAAACAATCCAATACATATACACAGCATTTGTGTAACAACCAAATGCATGCTTTATCAAGTATATGGTTCTGTTAACTTCGAAATAATCAAAACAATTGACCAACTTAAAAATCCAGCCTTGAAAATGTATATGAAATTGACTTAAAGTACTTTTATTGTAAATAACAAGGAATTTGAGTTCAAGGCTAAATATGCTAAAAGGCTAATGGTGGTTCTTTTGTTTTTTTTAGATATGATTTAACAAGAAGGTAAGGTGTTT